GGGCCCCGCGCTGGGCGGACGCTGTCGCCTGTTGGGTCGCGGGTGGGCACAGGCCTCCGCCTGAGCCGGGCCGCGCCGCTCGCTCCCGGGTGCGCGATGCGTGTTAGCGGTAATAAAGTGTGAGACGCTCCCTAAACGTAAACGGGCTGCGTCCGTGCTCCTGTAGGCGTCCGGCGAGAGTTGTCATTTATCCACGAGAAGAGCAGAAACCAGCCTTCACCGCTTGTTGCCAGCCAGCCGGGTCGCGGGAGCTCCGAAACATTCCCGTGTCGGAGCTTGACCGCGAGGGTAATTAAGTCCCGGTGCCTTCACAGCATGGCATGCCGGGCCAGGCCTCCCAACCACTAGTCTGCCTTTTCTGCATGGGTTGCAGTCAGCTGAGAAGAGATGTAATTGCTTTAATTAATTTGTAAACGGGGAAATACATACTGCAGTAGTCATGTGGCTCCTTTGGCACGTAGAGGTTGCTGCAGTAATTTGTAAGCATGTGTAGGCATAATCTTTATACAGGTATGTATGCTTACACACAACTATGATTCTATGTAGCCTGTAATAACACATAAAGTGAAGAACGTATTTCATTGCCTCTCACGATGTTTGTTTTAATTAATTCTAATACTTTAGCTTTTTATTTCAGTAAGAAGTGTGGAGAGACAGATCAGCACTCTTTTCATCTCTGTCAGCATCCAGTCTTTGTTGGGGAGATGGTGATGATTCAGCCATTGGACTAATCTCAGATGAGATGTGCGTTTGCTAGAAAGAGTAAGATATTACATTTTATGATTAGGAAAGAGTGGGGTTTGTTCATCATTGTCCTTAAGTTATCTGCCTGGGAGCAAGGCCCTTCTCTTGGCCTACAAATCGGGATCAGTGAACTCTAGAACTTTTTGGAGTCATTTGACATCACTGCTTTATGGGGTGACCTGTCAAGCATATGAAACGTGGCAGCTGCGCACTTGTACCTCAAGTGCACAAACACAATAGATCAAACACATTGCTATTCTGCATCTCTCTGTCATGGTTTCTCTGGCTGTTTTTTTTTACCTTTTGTTCATTCTGAACAAGTTGGACTTTTTGTATCCCTACCAGCCTCGGAAGCTGAACGTTTCTTTCTCATTTTTATCAAAAACTTGTGCCAGTCATGGATTCCAGTGGTTATTGCCTAACTTATAAGTAAAAGATACACTTTCTAGTTACCCTTTGCCATTATAGGATCTGAAGTAAAGTGAATCTTTCTGATTTGTGTCTCATAGTTCTATAGATTATGTTTTGGTTTTCTTTACATCTAAGCAACATACAATTTTGCTGGTTTTAGCAGAGGCTATTAAAACAGTGTTACCATGGTAAGGCCTTCCACCCAAATGAGTAACCTCACAAAAAATATCTCACTGCTTAATCATTGTTGACATTTGAAAACAACAAGGTTTTAATTAATAAGTCTGTTGATGATGCATGCATTTTAAAAATTCATTTTGTTTTCCACTTAATTAGCTACATAAAACTAATAATTAGGGACAATAGAGATGCAAGTCTCTAAATTACAGAAGAGAGGACAAAAGCATGACACTGCTTTTCCATAAAATAAACTATATTAAAACTACAGTAAGCTCTATAGACAATTTAAATACTAATTTTTGTCTGTGATGATCTTTCCCCTCTCGCACCTTCTTCAGTGAAAATAATGTAATTGATGTAGAATGTATCCCAGGTAGCCACAGGAGGTGTAGCCAGCTGTTGTTTTATTTAAAGATTTTTTTTCCAAGGGCTTTTTAATATCTTCCCCTTGTTCTTATTTTTCCTACCATAAGAAGTGTTAAAGAAGGCTTTTTATTAGGCATTTTATTTGGAAAAACAGTTCTGGAATCTCAGCAGCAATGATATAAAAAAACTTTTCTCCTTTTTATGTTATTTCTTTTGTATGTACGTACTTCCCCCTTCTTATATAGAATTCTTCTGGCAGGTTGTTTAAAAACAAGAGGAAAAATAAGAGTGATGTATACAGGGAAATACCTGTTCTTTGGTCTAGAAAACTGAGGATCTGACAGTTCCTTGGATACAAAGCAAAGATCCTGACTTCCAAGGACTAAAAAGCTAACCAGTCAGTTTGCCTCATAAACTCTTAGAACAAGTGTTGGAAGTCTTCTTACTCATTGAGAATTCTGCATGAATAAGGAATACAGCTTTCAAGTAGTATCCACATCAGATTGCAAGTCTTGAGGGAAGAGTCAGAGTTTGGTGAGATTGGTTAAAATAACTTTACAGATTGAAGCAACAATCTGCCACCTAATCAACATAAAGTTTTGCAGATTTTCACTTTGTGAAAATTGTGTAGAGTCCCTGAAGAGCCCATTTGCAGTATAACACTGCTAATTATTTTTTTCTCAGTAGGTCTTATGTGTATTTGTGTTTTTTCATCATGGCAACTCCCTGTTCACTTCATAGAGGCAACATTCTGGACCAGGGAGACCAGTCCAAGAACTGTAAGAGTCATGGAGTAAGCAGGTTGCTCTCTGCTCATTTGACTGCATTGCATGACTGGTGATTGATTCCCATCTGTCAAGTACCTTGAGAATATTTTAGCATCAGAGTTGCATGTGAAAGTTAATATGAAAAAGTAGTAACTATTCCAAAGTTTAGCACATCATGGTCACATTAGCTAAATAATGTGAAGCGGGTCAAGTATAGGACTTCTGTGAGGAAGGTAATGGCTAGTGCTGGATACTATTCTTCAGTCTGTAAAACTAATAATACTGCAAGTGAACCTGTTTGGAGGAAGCAGTGCACTTCCCTTGAAAAGTCATTTGACAGAAAGTGATGCAAGTGCAGTAATTACTAGGGCTGTCTCTGGTACCTCTGCTACTGATGCAAGAAGTTAGTTTGAACTTCTTTACTGAAGGAGAATTAAACCATGCTCATTCTAAATAATTGATCACTGTTGTCCAAAAGAAAACTCTGAAACTCTTAAATAGGAAAAAATAGGTTTTTATAAAATGGTGTAGTATTTTTTCCATTTACCACTTGTGAGACAATATTCCGAAGAAAAAACTGCTGCTTTCCTTTTTATATATGAATATTCCCTGCAGAAGCTTACTAGTACATCTGGTACAGGTCTCCTTTGAAAGTTACACTGGTGAGTACTAAATTGAACTGAGGAAACCTTGCTGTCTTTGGGTTTCGGTTTCTTTTGTCTCCAATAGGAAATGCTGCCATTGGAATATAAACAAAAGTAGTTTTTTCCCTGAAATGAAATGTAGGCAGCTTTGGCTATCTGATGGTTGTTCACTTTCTGAGATTCTACTTGTAAGTGATCCAACTTTAACAGTTAAAAAAGAGAGTCTCTCCATGCAACTGAAACACACCATATATTCATGATTTCTTAACTGGCATTTTGAGTAATTGCTTTTTTTTTTTTCTTCTAATTATGAATTCTAAAAGCAGACCTATGAACAAGAGTGATTGCGCTGTTTTCTTAAATGATGTCATTTTGCCTTGCTGTGGTTTAGAGTGCAGCTCTACAAACAGTTGCATCAGCACAACTGAGGGATAAACTAGCAAAATGGTAAAAAGAGTTGGGTGAGGAAAAGGGCAGGAACATCTTAGTCAGGCTTTGCTACTGGAAAAATTGGAATGTGGAATCTTTGTGTTAAACATCATTCATGTATTAAATGTATCTAAATATTATTCTTATATTCTGCATGATGATTTCATAGAAGTGATTTGAAAAACAAGATATGAGTAAACTTGATTTTCTGCAGAAACAGCTATTTCTTTTTATGAGCTCATGGTGTTTTTAGAAACATGGAGAGCAGTGATATTATGCTTTTTGATTAGAGAAAACCTGAAGACTTCTGACTGGGTTTCTAATGATTTTTCTTTAATACTAGAAATGCAAGCTGTATCTGGAAGACTCTAGAACAATAACATCATGAGTTGTAAAAAGTTCTGCTGTTGGGAAGGAAAGGAATTTTTAATTAAATCAGTGAACTAAACCATTGGAGATCGACTGGGGACAAGATGAAGCAGGCAGCTGATAAATACACAAGTTACTGGTTGATCTTACTTGATGGCAGAATTAGGATGTTATCAGAGCCAGTCTGTGGCAAAATTTGTCCCTTTTAGCAGCAGTAACTTTCAATTACTTTGGACTAAGTGCAGTTTTACTTGCTTGTGAGTCATTACAATTATAGGAATGTAATCTTAGAAGTCCTGATTTGTATTTGAAATCAATAACATCTGTAATATTTATGTTAACATTATAGTTAGTGCTGTGCTTCCTGGTATAACGGGCACTTCTCATATATATTTAAGATGACTCTCATTTGTTTAGACACAAAGATACATCATTTGCAAACACTTAAACACAGCTTATCCTAAATAGCCAAGAAGGTGGAACCAAATTCCCCAAATAATGAGATTTATTTTCATTAAAATGGAATTATTTCTCCCATTCACATTTGCCATTCTTTACACTAATTTCTATTGGTTTGCGGTGGTGTCTAACTCTGCCGTCAGTGACAGACAGGAATAAATAAGGTATCCTTCCCTCCCACTTTTTAAAGACTTCCCTCTTTCCAGCAATGATAACTTGTCTGTATATAGTCTTTGGAAGCTGGGGAGGAGGTTGTTTTCAGAAATTTGTCTGGGTCTAAATACCATGTACAAATTTAGAATCAAAGTAGCAATTTGTAGGGAAAATGTTTTCCTCTAACAGGCTTGAGCCACACTGGTAGCAGCTGTTTCTTTAACCTACTACATCTGACAGCGTGGCTACAGAGCCGGTCGGTGTATCTTTGATGACACGACGTTTGGTAACCATTTGGGTGCATTCTGAGTGTGATTTTATGAAGCAAGAACATTTGTAGTAGATGGCACAAATTACATACTGCAACTTGCTGTAATTACAGGGTAGCATGTTCAGGGAGCAGTGCCTGTATAACATAATGTAAACTAATGTTCTGTCTACTCAAAAAGCCAGGTGAAAGAGACTGCTGTTTCACACCTTTAAAAGTACGGAGTGTCCTGGAGGTCACTGGGTGCCTCTGGCTGCTCAGCCTGTAAGAATAAGACCTTTTTAAAAAATACTTCTAAATATAGATTCGGAGTCTGGTATTACCTTCCGGGAAATGTATTTTTCAAATCTGTTTATAGTGTTAAATGAAATTTGCGGAGTACTTGGGGATTAGGATGTAGTATTCTCTGTGTATTCACTGCTGCTTTTTGACTCGGGTTTTCCTGAGCTTTCCATGGATCTGTAAGGAAGATGAGAAGAAATGTACATTTGTTTAGCT